GATCCCAATGGCAAGGGGGGTCCCGGGACCCCCGGGGTCCCTACAGGCCCCTTGGTGGGGGGGGGGATGTCCAGACAAGGACCCCCCCGGACGCCTGGGCCCCCCGTGTGCGTGGGGTTTCCGGGCAGCCGGAGCCGCACGTGGCCTCGCTCCGGTGCCGGATTAGCGCCGGATTAGGGAGCTAAGCCCCGACGCGCACAACAAACACACCTTGGGCGCGCCGCGCTCGTTAGCGTTATCCCCCCTCATTAACGACAGCAGGAGCAGCCGGGCCGGCTCCAGCGGCCCCAAACACGGGGATCAACCCCCAGCACCCCCCACCCCCATCACAATGCCTGATATTTGGGGGAATTACGGTAGCCAAGGGGTCAGGGCCCGTGCTCAGCCGGTACCCTGCATGCTACTAGGGGGATTACGGTAGCACTGGGGGTTGGCCCCCACTTCTGTGGATTGGGCTGCCTGCTACTAGGGGCATTACGGTAACAATGGGGGGTCGGCCCCCCGACTTTTGTGGATTGGGCTGTGCACTACTAGGGGGATTATGGTAGCAACAGGGGTTGCCCCCTGCTTTTTTAAGTTGGGCTGAGCACTATTAGGGGGATTACGGTACCCTCCCCCCACTATCCCCAATGCGGGGGGGGGGCGGGTTGAGGCTGGCCCCCCCCCCCCTTTTTTTTTTTGCTGCTCTCTGTTAGGGGGATTACAGTAGCAGCCCCCTTGTGTGGGTCAGTGCTGGATGTTACTAGGGGAAATACGGTAGTGTCATTGGGCACCCCCCCTCCAAATATGGGGAAGGGAGGGGGGGGGCGGGACTTGGGAAGAGCCCAACCAATGGTGTGACCCGGATTGGAGATTGGAGGTGGGTGGGACCTTGGGAAGAGCCAACCAATGGCATTTCCCCCATTGGAGGTGGGAGGGTCTTCAGAAGAGTCCAGCCAATTGTGGGTGGGACCACAGCGGTGACCTGTCCCCAAGCTCCTCCCACGGTGGCTCCTGGAGGAGCTGCCACCAATCCCAGCACCTCCAGGCTCCCGGAGCTGAGTCATCCTCAGGGAGCCGCAGTGTCCCCAGATGCCACCAACGGTCACTTGGGAAACCACTGAGGAGGCCACTGGGCTAAGAGGAACTCGGGAGCTGTTGGGTTGGGTCATCCTTGTTGGGTTGGTTGACCCTCGATGAGGTGGCCAATCACTCTTAAGTAGCCCTTGTTGAGCTGGCCAACCATGAGTAGGTTGGAGGGCGCCTCATGGGGTTGGCCAACCTTTGTTGTGTTGGGTCACCCCTTGTTCCTGTTGGGTGGGGCCTTTCCTATGGGACAGGCGGTTGGTGGGTGGCCAACCACCTTGGGTTGGGTGACCCTTGTTGGGTTGGGTGACCTTGGCTAGGTTGGGGGCGGATCCTTGGTGGATTAGGTGACTTTGGTTGGGTTGGAGGGACCTTGTTTGGGTGGAGTGACCCTGGTTGGGTTGTGTGACTCATTGGATTGGCCAGCTCTTGTTGGGTTGTTCATTCCCATTGGTCTGGAGATCTCCAAAGGGGCTGGCCATCTCAATGACCACTGCTGCCTTGGGCAACCGCCATTGGTTGGTGGCTCGACCAACTCCCATGGGGTTAGAGGTCTCATTCACCACTATCCCATGTCCCTCAGTGCCATCACAAGGACAGGCCACCTGCAGCCATGGACCTTGGTGCTCATGAGACCAAGGGTAGGAGACCACAAGGGAATGAAATGGGAGGTGTGTTTTGAAATAAAGCTGATGACTCCTCCTCCAAAGTCACCTTTGGACCTCAAGACCTCAAGGCCACCAACGGCAACCGGGTCCTTGGGCAACCCTGGAGGAGAAGCAACATCCGGGGTTTGCCCTGAAACTTGAGCCTGGTCTCAGCCGTGGCGGGAGGTTGGAAGGACCAAATTTCCCATCTGTCGCCAAAGCTTTAATGTCTCCTGCCACCCCACCCTGCGGCCACTCGGTGGCTTCGCCAGGTGGCACCGGCTGAGGACCTTGACCACCGTCCTGCCCCGGTGGGACATGGGAGCCGCGTCAGCGGGGACACGGCCCCACCACCGTCCCCCGTCACTTGTTGTCCCTCATGATGTCCTGGATCCACTGGGCGAATCTGCAGACCTTGGTGTAGACGCCGGGTCTCTTGGGCTGCCCGCATTTCTCCATGCCCCAGGACACGATGCCTTGGAGGGTCCCGTTGCAAACCAGAGGTCCCCCGGAGTCACCCTGTGCAAAGAGGTGACATGAGCTGGGGTCAACCGACATGGATTGGGGGATCTCTCTGGCTACCCCAACCCTCCTTGGCGTTGGTCTCCTCCAATTGGGTTGGCCACCTCCAATGAGGTTGGCCAAGACTTATGGGATTGATAAACCTGGATTGGCCAGGTTCTCCCATGGGGCTGTCCAACCAGCGTTGAGTTGGCCCACCATGGCTTGGTTGGCTGACCTCATGGCATCGGCCAACTCCCATTGGCCAACTGATGTTCAATGGCTTGTTGAACCGTCACTGGGTTGGCCAACCACCCCTCTGGGTGGTCCAGCCACTCTTGAGTTGGTCGACTATAATTGGGTTGGCCAACTTAACCCTTGTTAGGTTGAAGAATCATCACGCCATTGGCCAACCCCTGCTTTGGGCTGTCCAGCTTCCATTGGCGTGTCCAATCACAATTGAGTTGGCCAACCCTTGTTGACCCAGCCAACGAAGAAGACCGTAGACCTCCTTGTGGGGAACACGTCCCCTTCTGCCTTGGAGACACCGCCCTGGGGACAACCTGGTGGTGGCCGCAGGGGACATTCTGGCCGTACCTGGCAGGAGTCCCTACCGCCGCTGAGGCTCCCGGCGCACAGCATGTTCTCCGTGATGTAGCTGGGGTACAACTGCTGGCACGTGGCCGTGGAGAAGATGGTGACGTTGACGCACTGCAAGACGTCCGGGTAAGTGACTGGGACGGGAGACGCAGGTGGGGACGGGGGAAGAAAGAAACCAGAGCAATCGACCCGGGCACGGGCAGAGATTCAGCCCCCCTCACTCCAAAGCGCCCCGACGCCGCCCCACCGCCCCACGTCTCTGCTGGCCAATCGTCTGGAGATGCTTCTCCAGCTGGGTTTGGGGAGGAAAACGCATATTTGGGAGGATTTGGGGGTCCCAAGGTGGGGAAAGGCACCTTCTGGTGGGGGGATTTCTCATGGGGAAGGGGAAACTTCCCCCTCCCATAAAAGAGGCATTTTCTGCCCCAAAAAAGGTCCAATTTGGGCCACTTTCATATTAGTCCCAGGCATCTGGAAAAGGATGCAGGTATTCCAGAGAATTCCTGGTGTCCAGGTGGGATCCAGGTGTCCAGAAAGGACGGGGACATCTGAGGAGGGGCCCAGGAGTCCGGGAAGGGGGTAGGTGCCTAGGAGGGATGTGGGCATCAAGGAGCAGATCCTGAAATGTGGGAGAGGATCTTGATGTCCAGGAGGGACCCAAGTATCTGTGAGTGGACCTGGGTGTCCAGAAGAGGACCCAGGTGTCCAGGGTGGACTCAGGTGTCCAGGAAGAACCCGGGCATCTGTGGAGGGCCCTAAACATTTGGGGGAGGATCCAGATGTCCATGACGGACCCAAGTATCTGGGAATGGACTGAGGTGTCCAGGAGGGACCCAGATGTCCAAAGAGAGGACATAGGTGTCCAGGAGGGGCCTAGACATCCAGGAGAGACCCAAGTATCTGGGAATGGACTGAGGTGTCCAAGATGGACCCAGATGTCCAAGAGAGGACATAGGTGTCCAGGAGGGACCTAGACATCCAGGAGAGACCCAAGTATCTGGACTTGGCCCCAGGTGTCCAGGAGGGACCCACAGAGCCCTGGGTACCTTCCGGGGAGGAGGTGGCCCCCCATCCCGAGGTGACGCAGGAGGCTCCGGCCTCCGGGGGGCAGCTGGCCACGGGGACGACCTGGACCCTGTCGCTGAGGGTGACGGGTGTCCCGAGCTTCAGCATCATGATGTCGTTGTTCTTGGTGGTGGGGTCGTAGTCGGGGTGCGGAAACGACTTGAGCACCCGCTTGAGCTGCTCGCCCGACTCCCGCGTGAAGAGGTTGTGCTTGCCCAGGCGGATGCTGGTGACCCTGGGGGACACGGACATGGGGCTCGGAGCTGGGGACAAGGTCCTGGTGTAGCACACGCGGCCAGGACAGGGAGGATGCGGTCTACATGGGAGACATGGAGACCATGGGGCATGTGGCACGTGTGCGACACTGAGACCATGGGACGGGCCACGTGTGGGACACAAGATGCCAAGGGCAGGTGTGACATCAAGAGCACGGTCTGCAGATGACATTGAGCACCTGTGGGACATGGCACGGGCAGGACACGTGTGACACCAAGACCATATGGGACGGACCATTTGTTGGGCACAGCATGGCCATGACACATGCAAGACCAAGACCATGGTGCTCACACGGGACAGACGATGCGTGGGACATGGCATGGCCAGAAGTGACACTAGGACCACGGTTCGCACATGGGATGGACAACGCGTGGGATGCGGGATGCCAAGGACACGCATGACATCAAGAACATGATGAACGTATGGGACGCATGTGACACCAAGCCCATGGTGCACACATATGACGGCACACGTGAGTCACACATGTGACACCAAGCCCACCAAGACCTGGAGCACCCATGGGACCCCAGAATCGCGCCCCCCGCCCCCATGGACACCCTTCCTTACCCCGGCATGGTGCAGTGAGCGGCCGTCACCACCCACTGCCTGCCCACGAGGACGCCGCCGCAGTAGAGCTTGGACATGTCGAGGATGGCCACCTGCCAGGGCTGCGAGTGGGCCACGCAGTCCATGCCGCCCACGATGCGCGTCAGGTCCGCGGCCGAGGACGCTGGGGCCGGCGCCGCTCTCGCCTCCATCGCTGCTGCGGGACACGCGCGAGCGTTAGGGCCCTGCGCGTTGCAGGGGTGCGTTACGGTAGGGCTGCGCGTTGTATGGGAGCGTTACGGTAATGCTGTGCGTTGCATGGGAGCATTACGGTAGGGTTGCACATTGCATAGGAGCGTTATGGTAATGCTGCACGTTGCATGGGAGCATTATGGTAATGCTGCGCATTGCATGGGAGCATTACCGTAATGCTGCACTTTGCATGGGAGCATTACAGTAGGGTTGCACGTTGCATGGGAGCATTACGGTAGCGCTGCGCATTTTGCAGGGCATTACGGTAGCAATGCACATTTTGCGGGGCGTTACGGTATCCCTGCACACTTTAGGGATCTTTTCGGTGGCCATTAGGGTCATTTTGGTGTTTGCGGCACCTTTCTCAGGGTCTTACGTTAGTGCTGCGCATATCTCAGAGAATTACGGCAGCTGAGGCGTTAGGGTCTTGCTGGACGTTTCTCAGGGCAATACGGTAGCGCTGCGCATCTCTCAGGGCATTACGGTAGCACAGCACCTTTCTCCGGGCAATAGGATCTTGCTGCGCGTTTCTCAGGGCATTACGGTAGCACCGCAGGGGCGATGGGATCTTGCTGCGCGTTTCTCAGGGCATTACGGTACCCCAGCCCCCCAGTGCGGGGGGGATGGGGACAGGGGTGGCCGCCGTGTCCCCTCCTCCCGGTCCCAGCACTTGGGCAACCTCATTATCCCGAGCGCCGCGGCCCCAATCGCCACCGTCATCGTTAATGAGGCGCCTAATTAGGGGCCCCGCCAGCTCCTCCGCCTCCCCCTCCTTGACTCGGGGCGTTTGACCTCCCGGCACCCCGCGACGCCTCCCCCGGAGCCACCACCCATGTGGGTCACGAGTGGCTCGGAGCCACCCGAGGACGCCCCGAGGAACGGGGGGGTCTTTGCTGCCCGTCCTTGGGGGTCTTGCTGCCCCATTGACGTGGTTTGGAGGTGGGTCGGGGGGTCCCCACCGTGGTTGTGGGTCAGGGTCCCCTATGGCCACAACTTGGGGACACGGGTTGATGCTCTGCATAGATGGCGGTGGTGGCCCCATGGACGTGAGTCCCCTTGGGAGATGATGGATGAGGATCGGGAAAAGGGGGAACGAGGGATAGAGAAAGAGCTGGGATGGATGAGGAAGGAGGGATGGATTGAGCCTGGAGGAGGAAGGACAGATGGAGTTCGGGAATGGAGGAGTGGGGTCCATGATGGATGCAAAGTAGGGATGGAGGGGACCAAGGGAGCATGAAGGAGGACAGACGGACGGAGCAAGCGTGGGATGGATGGAGGGTGAGGAAGGCAGGACGGAGCAAGCCCAGAGAAGGGATGGAGGAAGAATGGAGATGGAGGGATGGAGGAAACCTGGCAAAGAAGGGATGGAGAAAAGGTGGAGACGGAGGGATGGAGGAACCTCAGAGAAAGACGGATGGATGGAGGCCAGGGAAGGAGGAATAGTGGGATGGAACCAGCCCCGAGAAGAAGAGATGGGTGGAGAGTGGAAATGGAGATGGAGGGATGGAGGAAGCCTGGAGAAGGGATGAAAAGTAGAGACGGAGGGACGGAGGAAGCCCGGAAAAGGATGGATGGAGGGATGGAGGAAACCGGGGGAAGAAGGAATGGGTGGAGAGAGGAGACGAATGGCACCTCCACGTCCCAGCAAACCTGTCCGCAGGTCCCCGCGCTGCCGAATGAGCCCTCCGCAGAGCTGGGGCCACCAGCCGAGGGCTCCCGGTGCTTCTCCGAAGGTCCCGGTCTCGGCGCCGCCGTGTCTTCCTCCACCCGGGATGGGGGCAAAAAAATTCAAAAAACTAATTAAAAAAAACCTTGAAGAACTCAAAAAAGACTTAAAAACCCGAAAGAAATAAAAAAAATCTTGAAAAATCTCAAAAAACACAAAAAACTAAAAAAACTCAAAAAAATCCTCCAAAAATAATAAAAAAATCCCCAAAGCTTCAAAAAAGCCCCCCAAATCAGAAAATCTTAAAAAAAAATCAAAAACCTGTCCCTAAAACTCCCCCAGGTCCCCCCAGGACCGTGTCCCGCCTGGCCCCGTCGCGTCGGCTCCCGCCCGGCCCTCCCACGTGAGCTCGGGCGCTTTTATAGCGGCGTCGGGGCCGGCCCGGCTCGTCCCGCCCCAGGACGCCTCGACGCCTCCTTCCTTAATCCCTCGGCGCCGCCTCGCCCGGACGCCCTCGCTTTGCCGCTTGCTGATTGGCCGGCTCGCTTCGGGCTGCCTCGCGGTGGTTGGTCGGCTTCCGGGCGACCTGGAAACGCCGATTGGCTGGTTGGGTTTGGGGCAAGGCGTGCGGTTGGGCGGTGCTTTAGGAGGTTGGCGTGGGCTGGTTGGTCGGCTCGCTGCGGACGCGCAAGGATTGGACGACTGTTTTGGAGGCCACCATGTCACATCGGGTGGTGACTTTGGAGACCAACAAGAGAGGATCGGCCAAGGACTTTGGAGACCATCATGAGACGATTGGCCAAGGATTTTGGAGACCAAGATGAGACGATTGGCCAAGGACATTGGAGACCATCATGAGACGATTGGCCAAGGACTTTGGAGACCAACAGGTTTGGCCAAGGACGTTGGGGATCAACAGGTTTGGCCAAGGACGTTGGGGATTGGTGCACATGGATGGGGCCAGATCGCTTTAGAGACCTCCCCATGCCAATTGGCTGCTGGATTCGGAGGCTGGCACTTGGGATAAGCTGGTTGGCTTTGCCAGGCAGCAAATCCCATTGGCCAACCAGCAATGGAGACCAGCACATGCTCATTGGCCTGTTTGGAGATCAATATGTTCTCGTTGGCCAGTTGGCTTTGGAGACCCTCGCATGCTGATTGGCCAGCTGGAGACAAACCCTTGGTGATTGGTCAGCTGGTTTGGAGACCGGCATGTGTTGATTGGCCAACTGAAGACCAACCCATGGTGGTTGGCCAATCATTTTGGAGATGACTTGGCTGGGGCTCTTGCTAGACCAGCAGGAGGTCTTGGAAGGACGTCTAAGTTCTCCTGTGCCTTGCTGGTCCATCCATGGGACCCACCGCCCTCCCCATGCACACGGGGGGCACCAGAGGGTGCTCTCACCCCACACCGCTCGCACGAAGGGAGGCTGTGGGGCGGGGAAGGGGGCGTGGCCAGGGGAAAGGGGCGGGGTTTTCCCATCCCCTGGCATGAATGTGGAGCGAGGGCCGGACGGACAGACGGATGGGTGGCCAAACCGGGTGTAAACAGGGTGGGTGGAGCTCAGCCCAACTGGTTCTTTTGGTGGGGGGCCTCGTTAGCGGCCGCCTCGTTAGCCAGCTCTTAATTGCACCAATTAGCGCACCCACGCGCTCCCAGGTGGGGCCGGCTCCCAGCTTTACTCCTGGTTGACGCCACCCGCGATAACCCCGGCGAGTCGCACCATGACGTGTCCATGGGGTGGCACCAAGGGGACGGGGACACGTGTTGCGCAGGAGAGGGACGCGGGTGCTGGTTGTCACCCAAGGCCACCAGGATGGGAGGCGGGTCGTTGTGGGTTGTTTGTGGCCACCGGAGAGGGGCATGTGTGGTCATGGGTTGCCCGTTGTGGCCACCAGGCTGGTCACATGTGGGTCTCCAAAGGTGGACCTGGGTCGTGTGCTCCTGGTCATGCATGGACATGGGTGGGTTCCAGAGGTCCTTCACAGCTGCCTTCCCACACTGGACACATGTGGCTGTCGGTGGGCAGCGGTGGCCACCGGATCAGCCCAATGTGGCTATGGGTCCGGACCTGGATGTGTCCGTCCTCCAGACCCAGACATGTCCCCTGTCACCGAGCTGGGCACGTGCTGGACACGTGTGTCCTCCTGAGCAGGACATGTGGCTTCCAGTGTGGCCACCAACTCGGGACACACATAGCCATGAGGTTCCTCCTCTGGTGACACCAGATCCAACCCATGGCGATGTCCCCCCAGACACGCTTCCAGTGGCCACAGGCGCCCATGGCGGAGCCACAGGACGGAGTGAGGTGGCCACGTTACACAGGACTTTATTCCAGGAGCTCATTCCACGGTGCGTGGGGAAGGTGGTGGGACAGGAGACAGCAGTGAGGACCAGAACTCGGGGCGAGACGTGGGGATGGGGTGGGGGAGATGGGACCTCCCTTTGGGTGGTGCTCACGCGTGACTGTTCCTCTTGATGGTGTCCCGGATCCAGTCGGTGAAGGCGCAGACGCGGGTGTAGACGCCCGGCTTGCCCCGCCGCCCGCACACCTGCATGCCCCACGACACGATGCCCTGCAGCTCCTCCTGGCACACGAGCGGGCCCCCCGAGTCTCCCTGCGGGACAGAGGCGGCCCCTGGTGAGACCCCCCTATGGGTCCATAGTGTCCAAGAGGTCCCTAGAGTGTCCAAGAGGTCCCTAGAGCACCTGGAGGGTCCTTAGAGCATCCGGATGGTCCCAAGAGGACCCAGGTGGTCCCTGGAGCACCTGGGAGGTCCCTAGAGTGCTCATGAGGACCCAGAAGGTCCCTAGAGGACCCAGATGCTCCCTAGAGCACTCGGACAATCCCTAGAGCACCCAGATGGTTCCTAGACTATCTGGAAGGTCCCTAGAGCACCCGGATGGTCCCTAGAGCAGCTGGAAGGTCTCCAGAGCACCTGCAGGTCCCTAGAGCACCCTGGGGTCTCTATGGCACCCAGGAGGTCCCTAAGACATCCAAGAGGCCCCTAGAGCATCCAGGAGGCCCCTAGATCATCCAGATGATTCCTAGGCACTTGGAAGGTCTCTTTAGCATCAAGTTCTCCCTATAGTGCCCAAGAGGTTCCTATGGCACTCAGAAACCCCTATAGTATCTAGGCAATGGTGCAGTGCCTGGGGTCCTTATGGTACCCATGGGACCTTATGGTACCCAGGGGTCTGTACAGTGCTGAGGGTCCCTATAGCAGCCAGGAGGTCCCTATAGTCCCTAGGGAGTCTCTATAGCCCCCAGGGGGCTGGATGATGTCTATAGGGGGTCTGTATAGCAGCCACGGGGCGTATGATGCTTGGCGAGACCCCATAGCACCCAGGAGTGTCCCAATAGCACCTAGTGTCCCCAGTGCCTGTTCCACGAGATGTTTCTCCCGCACGGGTTCCTCCACCTTGGCTGGTGTCTCCTTGGGTGCAGCCGCTTGTCCCAAGGGGAGGTGACCCACTGTGGGGTGCCCGTCATGGCCACCCCCTTCCCGGCCCACCCACTGCCACCTCTACCTGGCAGGAGTCGGTGCCTCCCGTGCTGAGGCCAGCGCAGAGCATGTTCTTGGTGATGCCCTTGGGGTAGAGCTTGGCGCACTCCTCGTTGGGCATCGTGTAGACCACGCCGCACTGGAGGATGTCGGGGAAGTACCCTGGGGACGGCGGGAACATGGTCAGGGTCTCCTCAGAGGCCCCCCCTCTCTTCTCCAAGCAACGTGGCCATGGTGGGTGGAGATGTCCCCACCATGGAAGACACCCCTGAAGACAGGGGCCAAGTGGCCGCGTTGGAGGTGGTTTGGAGTCTTCTCCAAGATGGATGAAATGAAACCTCCCCAGCTGCTCCCTGGATTCCATGGAGCTCTGGGGACATCTCCACCACTTGATCATGGTGGAGATGTCCCCGAGATGCCCCAGGTCTTTTGAGGGACGTTTCCACCTACCTTCGGGGCTGCTGGTGCTGCCCCAGCCCGAGACGATGCACTCGGTGTTGGGCGGGGGGCAGCGCTTGGCCAAGGCCACGGGCCGCACGTGCTCGGTGAAGCGGGCCGGCTTCTGGAGCTTGAGGAGCATGATGTCGCTGTCGTGGCTCGTGGGGTTGTAGCCGGGGTGGACGAAGGCCTGTGCCGAGCTCACGCACTGCTCCGTGCCCTCCTTGCGCTTCAGGCTGTGGTCGCCCATGCGGATGGGGATGGACCTGGGGGAGCGACGGGGTGACGCCGAGCTGCCCCATCGGGGCGAGGGGAAGCGGGGCCGGGCGAGACGCCCGGGAAAGGCCGTGGAGCTTGGGAGGAGCCGGGCGGGTGACGTGGCCACCCGGGAAGTAGGGCAAAAGGCTTCCCCTCCTATCATTAGCACCTTTAACCAGGTGGGGAAACCGAGGCCCGGAGCCCAAAGTCGCCCAGCAGGTCAGCCGGAGATCCGGGCGAGCGCGGCGAGTCCAGCCCGGGCTCGGCGCGGTGGGGAAGAACCGGCTCCAACCCGGACGCCCGGGCCCCGTCGCTCCGCGGGGCTCTGTCCCTCCGGACCCGGCCGCTCCTTCTCCACTTTGGATGGGGAGAGCTCATCCCACCTCACAAACCCTCGTTTCTCCATTGAGGAGATGGTTTGGACCTCTGCGAGCCATGGTTGATGGCTCCCGTTGTCCTCCCAGGTGGACACCCACTGCCCAGACCTGGTTCGATCCCTCCAGAAGATCCCAAGTCCTGGTCCACAGAGACAGGCCACCATGGTGGGAAGGGGGCCTCTTCTGGCTGCTCCAAACTGTGGTTGGTGGCCCAAATTTGGGCTCAGCCCAAGCTCTGTGAGGCCAATGCCACCTTGCTGAGTGCCTTCTGCATGGCCAGGCTATGGAGGTTGCATCCTCCCCTAAGCCGAATCCAGCCTCACGTGTTAAGGACGCTCCATTTCGTGATGCCCTCAGGACACATCTCCTTGAGTGGCCACCTCGAAATTCCTTGTGCTGGAGGAGACCCCCCAGGGGCTGTGGGACCTGACCTGGTGCTTGCGACTCTTCCCCGTTTGAAGGTGGGTACCTCATGACCGTGGGTGCTGGAGATCTACGTCTACATCTCAGAGGTAGCTGAGATCCTCTTCCCACCTCTCCCAGCAGAAAGCCTGAACCACCAGGCCATGCAACCTGTGGTAGCTCCTGACTTCACCTGGCTTCTCCAATGGTGAGGAAGTCCCTATGTTCCCCTCTATAGACCGTAGACCCCAGCCACTTGGACATCTGGACTCCCTGCCAGGCCTAGAAGAGAGCTAAGGAGCATCTCCTACCTCCTCAAGCGCTCTAGGCCCTCCGGAAAAGAAAGATGGAGCTAATGGGGTTCTTTGCATGACCTCAAGAGAGAGGACTCACTGGTTTGGTGCCTCAGGGAATCCAAGGAGGTGGTTGTGGTGGCCAATCCAATGGGATGGTCAGGTTAGAGACCCAGCTGGATGCTTGTGGTGGCCACAAGTGAGATGGCTTTGCTAGGAGCCCAGCTGGATGTCTGTGGTGGCTCGAATAACGGGATGGCCATTATGGGGACTCAACTGGCCGCTGGTGGTGGCCAACCCAGCGAGAGGGTCATCCTGGTAACCCAACTGGGATGGGTCTGGTGGCCAACCCAGCTGGATGGTTGTGTTGGGAACACAACTGGACAGTTGCATTGAGCCACAGAGGTGGCCTCCTTGCAGGCCAGCAGTTGGCCACCCAATTGGCTGATTGGATTCTCCTTGTGGCTATTGGCGAAATAAAACGGGCCCTGGAGCAGGTAGGAGAACCTTGGCTAGAGGTGGATGCGCGATGACCACCACCACCTGGACCTCTCGCTTAGAGGGTCACCAGCCCATGTGACCCAAAGCATCATAGGCTGGACAAGTGCAGGGTGAGACACGGGACCCCCCAAAGCCCACGTAGGGTTGGGTGAGGCCCCCAGGGCCACCACGAGAAGGGAGGGCCACCACCTCCATCGCCTTGGTTGACCTCCCCATGGCCACATACAGGGACCTGTGGCCAACATGGAGCTCCAGCCCCATGGTCCGGTGGGGGAGACCCACCTGTTGGTGTTGCAGTGGGCGGCCGTGAGCACCCAGAACTTGTCGATGAGGACCCCGCCACAGTGGATGTTCTTCTGGGGCCCCAGGAGCACCACCTGGTAGGGGTGACGCCTCTTCTGGCAGCTGTGGGCCCGTGGAGGGCCCCCATGGCTCGGACACACACGGGACATGCGGCCCTCGGACGTGTCTCCACACCGGCTCCCTCCCAGCGTCTCCCAGTGCCTCCCAGTACCCCGTGTCCTCCAGTGCTCCCTCTCCCCCCCAGTGCCCCCCTGTTCTCCCCACGCTGCTTCCCATGGCTCCCGGTGCCTCCCAGTTCTTCCCTGTTTCTCCACGGCCCCCGGAGCCTCCCGGTACCTCCCGGTGTCCCCAAGTCCCCTCCAGCTGCCTCCTGTCCCCTCTCAGTGCCCTCCAATGGCCTCCCAGTGTCCCCCGGCTCCAGCCCCTTCCCTGCGCAGGGTCTCCCAGGTCACCCCATTCAATCCCAGCCCCACCACGTTGCTCCCAGTGCCTCCGCCTGTCCCCGCTTCACCTCCCGCTCCGTCCCAGGGCCTCCCAGGGCCTCCATTTCTCTCCCATCTCTCTCCCAGTGTCCCCTCGGTGCCTCTCACCGCCCTCCAGTGTCGCCTCGTCCCCCTCCGAGCCCTCCCAGTGTCCCCAGTTCACCCCCAGCTCCCTCCCTGTCCCCGCACAGTGTCCTCCAGTGCCCCCAGGTCACCCCACTGCCCTCCAGGTGCCTCCCAGGGCCTCCCCATTCCATCCTGCTCCCACCAATCCCCTCCCCAGTGTCTCCAGTGTCCCCCAGTGTCCCCAGGTCACCCCCAGCTCCCTCCCTGACCCCTCTCAGGGTCTTCCAGTGCCTTCCAGCCCATTCCCAGTTCCCTCCAGGTGCCTCCCCATTCAATCCCACCCACCCCGGTTCATTCCCGGTGTCCCCCAGGGCCTCACCGGCGGCCAGGAGCAGGAGCGGCAGGAGGCGCTCCATGGCGGGCAGGGTCGGGGAGGAAGAGGAGGGTGCAGAGGTGCGGGGCCCAGCCCCTTAAATCCCTTCGCCGGCCCCGCCTGGGCCGGGGCCCAGGGCCTCCCGCGGGAGCAGAGCTGAGGCCTGTCGGGGCGGTCACACGCCCTCCCCGGCACACCCCGGCCCGGGGCAAAGTGGGCCCGCGCCAGCCTGGCTGTCGTGGAGCCTCCTGGGGCCTCGATGGGGTCTCCTGGGGTGTCATGGGGCCTCCTGGGGCCTCCTAAGGCCTCAACAGGGTCTCCTGGGGTGTAGTGAGGCCTCCTGGGGCCTCCTAAGGCCTCAACAGGGTCTCCTGGGGTGTAGTGAGGCCTCCTGGGGCCTCCTAAGGCCTCAACAGGGTCTCCTGGGGTGTAGTGAGGCCTCCTGGGGCCTCCTAAGGCCTCAACAGGGTCTCCTGGGGTGTAGTGAGGCCTCCTGGGGCCTCCTAAGGCCTCAACAGGGTCTCCTGGGGTGTAGTGAGGCCTCCTGGGGCCTCCTAAGGCCTCAACAGGGTCTCCTGGGGTGTAGTGAGGCCTCCTGGGGCCTCCTAAGGCCTCAACAGGGTCTCCTGGGGTGTAGTGAGGCCTCCTGGGGCCTCCTAAGGCCTCAACAGGGTCTCCTGGGGTGTAGTGAGGCCTCCTGGGGCCTCCTAAGGCCTCAACAGGGTCTCCTGGGGTGTAGTGAGGCCTCCTGGGGCCTCCTAAGGCCTCAACAGGGTCTCCTGGGGTGTAGTGAGGCCTCCTGGGGCCTCCTAAGGCCTCAACAGGGTCTCCTGGGGTGTAGTGAGGCCTCCTGGGGCCTCCTAAGGCCTCAACAGGGTCTCCTGGGGCATCATGGGGCCTCAGTGGGATCTCCTGGGGTGTCATGGGGCTGCCTGGAGGTTCCTGGGGCCTCGACAGGGCCTCCTAGGGTGTTGTGGAACCTCCTAGGGCTTTCTAGGGCCTTGACAGGGTCTCCAGGAGTGTCATGGGGACTCAATGGGGTCTCCTAGGGTGTCATAGAACCTCCTATGGTCTCCTAGGGCCTCAACAGGGTCTCCTGGGGCATTGTGGGGCCTCGACGGGGTGTCATGGGGCCTCCTGGAGTTTCCTGGAGCCTCTTGGGGCCTCACACGGTGTCGTGGAGCCTCCTAGAGCCTTGTCAGGGTCTCCCAGTGCATTATGGAACCTTCTGGGACCTTGATGGGGTCTCCTTGGCCATTGCTGGGTATCCCGGTGTGTTGCAGGGGCTTCCTGGAGCCTCCTGGGACCTCTTGGAGCCTCAGCAGTGTCTCAAGGGGTAGGGGACCTCCTGGGGCTCTGGAGGCCTCACAGGGTGACATGGGAGACCTCACCGGGTGTTCCTGTTTTTTTTTTGGTCTCCTTGCCTTCCAGAGCATCCCAGTACATCCCAGTACAATCCGGTACCTCCCAGGATCCTCCTGGTGGCTCCTCAAGTGTCCCAGTGCCTCCTGCAGGGCCTCCCAGTGTGTTCTGGTTTGTGGCTTTGGGCCCCTCGAGACCCACCCCAGTGCAACCTCGTGCTCTCCCAGTTTGTCCTGGTGTCTCCCACCATGTCCCAAAACCTTCCTGTATCTCCCAGTGGGTTCCCAAGTGCCCTTGAAGCTTCCCAGTTAATCCCAGAGCCTCCTAATGTCCTTCATGTCCTTCCCAGGGCCCCCCGATTCATCCCAGGGCCACACAATGTCCTTCAGGTCCTTCCTATGGCCTCCCAGTTCATCCCAGAGCCTCCCAGGGCTCCCAGTGTCCTTCAGGTCCTTCCTAGGGCCTCTCAGTTCATCCCAGAGCCTCCCAATGTCCTTCATGTCATTCCCATGGCCTCCCAGTTCATCCCAGAGCCTCCCAGGACCTCCCAGTGCATCCCAGAGCCTCCCAGTGTCCTTCAGGTCCTTCCCATGGCCTCCCAGTTCATCCCAGGGCCTCCCAGCTTTTTCCAGCCCTCTTCCTGCCATTCCCGGTGCCTCCCCCGGGCACACGGGCAGGCGGGGGCATGACGGGCCTCAGTTTCCCCCTCCGGCCTCCCCCACAATCCCTTAATGACAGGGCGAGGTCCCGCCGGGGGGTGCCCGGGGCCGCCTCGCGCCCACGGGACGGGGGGATCGAGGTCACGGTGGCACCGGGGGGCAGAGATGTGGGGACATCGGGAGGGAGGGGGTTAAGGAGCTCCAAAATAAGGGCAGAGTTTGGGGGACATGGGGCAGAATTAAGGGGACCCCAGATTAGAGGCAGAGTCAAAGGGACATCTGGGATGGGCAGAGATGAGAGGACCCCAAATTAGGGGTAGAACTAAGGGGACATTGGGGAGGGATGGAGTTGAGGGGACCCCAGATTAGGGACAGAGTTAAGGGGACCCCCAAATCAGGGATGGAGTTAAGGGGACATAGGGCAGGGACAGGGTGCCCACAAAACGTGACCCCAATCCCGCCCCCCGGGTCACCGAGGTCACTTCCTCCTGGCACTTCCAAAGGTCCTCGGGGTCACCGGGGGCGGTGCCATCCCCACCCTCCTCCATCCGTCTGTCCCTCCGTCCACCCCCCAATGTCCTCGGGGACCCCATGGAGCCCCCAAACGTCCCCATGGGGATGTCCCCTCTTGGACCCGGCCACCCCGCGCTCCGGGAATCCCGAGGGAATTATCCCACCGCCGCCCCCCCGGCGCCGTCACCCCGCGTCACCGCCGGTCCCCGGCCGCGCTGTCACTGCGGGGTGGATTTGTCACCTCCTTCCCGGAGTGCCGGGGAACCGGTTTGTGCCCCGTCACCACCCGCCTCTACCGGGGCGGCTCCGGGCCACCGGGTTCGGCACAGGGACCCTGGGACGGGGGCGGCCACGGAGACCGTCCCGGCTCCGGCGCGGATGTCACCCCGGCCGGTTCTGCCACCCACGGGGATGGGGTAGAGGGTGACGGGGACAAGTCCCTGTCCCTGGCAAAGGTGCCACCAGGAGGGGTGGGTGCCCATGCTTGGTTGGAGAGATGGCACCTATGGGGACATGGCACCACATGGGTGCCACAGAGAGGGACGGGTACCCGTCCTTGGCATGGAGACAGGATGCCACCAACAGGAGGGTTGACTGTCCCCACCGCGGGTGCCAGATGACACCCGTGGGAACAGCCGTGATACTGTCATGGAGAGGCAAGATGCCACCAAAGGGCATGGGCGACTGTCCCTACAGTGGAGGTCACGGAGACCCATGTCCATCATGGATGCCACCGCAGGGGACATGTGGACACGCTGGCACCAGGTGGCAGCTTGGGTGGCCCCCAAGGTGTCCTTGTCCCCTGAGGACACCATCTCCAAGGGCTTCCAGACCTGAAGGACCTCAGGTGCCACCACCACCTGGGGACAACTCAGGTGCGTGGCAGGTCCCCAGGGATGAAATCCCCCCCTCTCTCCAAATTAGGGACCGTGTGGAGCTCTGCCTGCTCACTGCTAATTGGAGGACTAATTAGGACTAACGAGGACGCTTCCTGGAAATCCTGGTCCCTTTTCCAGACGCCTACGGAGCAGCGGGGGGGACCTTGCACAAGGTCCCCAAGTCCCTGGAGAGCAGCTCTCCCCGGTGACCTCAGCGCGGCGGGGAAAATGCATTAATGCATTAATTAATTGGGATGATTAATTAGGGTGGAGCCCATTGTTGTCCCCCCCCCGGCTTCCAGAGACCAATGAAGTTGCCCCAGGATTTTGGGAAAAGAAAGTTCCCGGAGACGGGAAGCGCGCGGGGAACAACGATGCAGCTGAGTCCTCACTAACCTCTCTTATTAATTAAGCCAGCGGGGGCTCTTGGAGGAGGAACCAATGTCCGTTCTCGGCTCTTCAATAATATTCATGCTAATAGCGGAGATCCCTCCCGGGCTGCTAATTAATAATTGTCCTAATGACCGGGCTATTGCAGCACCTTGGGGATTACAAATTACGCGTCGTTAATTATAATGTTCTATTAATAGTAACGGTGGCTGGGGGTGACGTTGGGACTGAATCCCAGGGCACTGGGGACGGGATGGGGGCCCCGGCGCGCGGGAGACGCCCTTGGATGGGGCTCGTTTCCCTCTTCCTTGGATTGGGAAGGAACCGTCGCAGTAACCGGGAGCAGCTTCCCACTGGGAAAGGGGAGGGGAGGGTCCCCAAATCCCAATCCCCCTCCCTGCACTTCCCAGTGCTCCCGGTCATCTCAGCTTCCCCCTCCTCAAAAAAGCATCGGAAAAGGGACAAATCCAGACCTGGAAGAGCTGGACCAGCCCTGGAGAATGGAGAGGGTCCCCAACCACCCCTCGACCTCAAGCAATGGGTGCTGGAGCTGCCCCCACCAATCTCTCCATGACTCCATCTCCCTGTTTCCATGCCTTTATTTTTCCAACCAAATCCCACTGCTTCCCGAAGGCTTCTGGGTATTTATTTATTTCCCCCCCTCCCAGCACCTACAAGATTGAGGGGGGGTCCAAAAAACACCCCCCGTGTAGGGCTCCGTCGGGAGGAACGCGGAGGAGGGCGGCGGGATGGAGTCCCGCCACGGCGCGGGTCTCACTGCCCGCGGATGTAGCGGTAGATCCACGGGACGGCCCGGCACACGTTGGAGTAGACGCCGGGCTGCCCCTTGCGCCCGCACACGGCCATGCCCCACGAGACGACGCCCTGGAGCCGCCCGTTGCAGACCAGCGGGCCCCCCGAGTCGCCCTGCGGGGAGAAGGGTCACGGATGGCGGTGGAAGAGCTCGGGAGACCCTCATAGGTCTCTCCATGGACGAGCTCCGTTTCCATGGCTTGGACATGCTGGAGTTACGGGAACCCCAAACCTCATAGGGGATCCATCCATGCGACATGGATTGTCCCTGTTTGTGTGGCTTGGGGTGGAGATGGTGGTGGAGGAGCTTGGGAGACTCCCACAGGCCCCTCCGCATGCTGTGGACCATCTCCACGGTTTGGGCATGCTGGTGAACCCAAAATTTATAGGGACCCATTTATGCATCATGGACCATCCCCGGTTTTGTGGCTTGGGTTGGAGATGCTGGTGGAGGAAGCTGGTTGGACCTGTCCATGTGCCATGGCCCATCCCTGGTGCTGTGGCTTGCGATGGAGACAACGGTGGAGGACGCCCAACCTTGCCCGGGCCTGTCCCAGCTCCATGGTTTGGCCACGAGGTAGCAGTGAAGAACCTAGACCTTGCCCGGGCCAACCCAGGTGCCATTTCTTGGCCACACGCGCGAGCTCGAAGCCACCCCAGGACATTCCCTGGGAGGTGGCCAAAGGGACCCCGTTACCTGGCAGGAATCGATGCCCCCCTGCGGGACCCCGGCGCAGAACATGTTGCGGGTGATGGTGTTGCTGCCGTAGGCCCTTGTGCACTTCCTCCTCCCGAAGGCCACGATGCCAGCGCACTGCAGGTTCTTGGGCAGCTTCGCTGCAGAGCGGGGATGGACGGTGAGAAGAAGGGGGACCCCCTGGTCCAGGCCTGGGGCTGAGGCCTGTGCAGACCTCGGGACGCTTCTGGGGGAGCGACGAGCGGAGACGGCTCCTTGTCCAACAGGAAGGAAACCCAACCCCAGCCTTGAAGGAAGACCCAACCAGAAGACATTCTGCTCTCTGGGCAGAGTCAAGGTGCTCCTTTTAGCCCACCTGAGAAGGCCAGGAGGAGCCGTGACCTCCTTGGAAACCCCCTTTTCCTACATCTTGCCTCTTTTTACCCCACCGAGGTGCCCATCAGGATCCAGTACCTCCAGGGGACTTGGTGGTGCCCCAGCCGGAGACGCTGCACCTCATGCCGTCCATGGGACACCTGGTGGCCAACCTGATCTTCTTGATGTTGTCGCCGAACCGCACGGGCCTGTCCAGCCTCAGGAGCATGAAGTCATTGTCGTTCTTGCGGGGGTTGTAGGCCGGGTGGACGGCGAAGTGGGAGATGCTCCTCACTTCCCCGGTGCCATCCCGGAGCGTGTCCGTCCCGATCAACACCCTGATGTCCCTGTCCCGGAGGAGAAGGATGAGGGATCCTTACCAGTCCCATCAGAGGGGTCTCACAACTTCCCTGGCACCAAGGGAGGCCATCATGGGCATGACCAAGGGTTGTCCAGGGCAGCTTCTCCATGGGGGAACCATACAGTGGGCAGAGTTAGGGTGATGTGGCCCTGGGACAACATTATCCCCTTTCCCTCAAGGAGGAGCTCAGGAAAATCCATAGTTAACTCGGACACCCCAGGGCATCTCCCATCTCCATGGGTTGGTGCTTTGACTTCACCTTCAAATTCCCAGCTCCAGAACTCCCACCTGCAGCATCCCGGGAATTCTGCCCCAAGCCTGACTTCTTCCTGATGACTTTCCCTATGGTTTTTCTTCATTATTCCCCACCAAAACATCCCGCTTGCTCTTGAGGAGCCTTGCTGGAAAGGGAGGTCCAAGAAATGTGGCCGTGGTGGGGGGCACCCTCCAGAGCTCCAGCCCCAGCTTCTGGATGTGCCTTCATCTGGAGGTTCCAGTCTCGGCATCACCAAAGTCTACATGCTCCAATCCAGAGGCATCCACATCTGGAGGCATCAAACTCTGGAGACACCAACATCTGGGGCAACCGGATGCCAACATCTGGAGGCACCATCTTCTACACATGAACATCTGGAGGCACCAGCCCCTGGGACCCACCTTGGTCATTGCGGGGCGCTATGTGATGAGATGTTGGCTTGTCACCATGGTGTGACACCATATGATGTGTGACACCAGCTTACCTGGCTGGCTGCTTGCAGTGGGCGGCCGTCAAGACCCATTGGGAGGCTATCAGGCTTCCACCACACAGGATTTGGCCCCTCTTGGTGAGGGCGACTTGGAAAGGTCTCTGGGTGATGGAGCAGGGCTTCCCACCGATGATACGGGACTCATCCTCCTCCGGCACTGCAACACAGAGCAAACGTCACCACGGGACGGTGGCACGAAGCATGAGGAGCTTCAAAGCAACCTGCTGCTTTGGATGGAAAAGAGGAGAAAACATTGCAAAACAGAATATGTAGAACATGCCTGGTGAAATGCAACCAAAAAAGAGGGAATGTCTCCTTTTTTAGCCTTTAAAATCCATTGGAATGGTCAAAATCGGGTTAAAGGCATCTGCTTTTATGGATAGACTGAGTCACCAATCATCCTCTTGGTGTCCCACCAGACTTCTTTCCGGGAGGAGGAAGAGGAGACAATTTTGGGACCAGGAAGCAGCAATGGAAATTTGAATGGAAATGTAGGTGTTTGTAGCCAAGATGGGACCAGCTTCTAGAGGCTGCTCTTCCTCCTGGTGCCATGGGGATGATGGTGACGATGGGGAACCACCGCTCCATGTCCCATCACCTTTCCCAGGGTGGGATGGGGGCTCCTCCGCGGGGACCCCCCGCTCCGGGGCCGGTCCGTCACACTGGTCCACGCTAATGAGCCCTCTTGGAAGAGCTTGTGCGTCAGGATGTCACCAGGGGCCACTTATCTCTGTGGTTTCACCATGCACCTGCGGGAGGGGCATCCGTTCCACCGCTAGGATTCCTCCCAGCCCAAGATTGGACTCCGAGTCCGGCGTGACGCACCCCTAAAAGAGCTGATTTCTTCTTCCGCGCTTGGTCAGAGCCTGCAGGACCAGCTGGGAAGGTCTCCTACCTTCTCGATGGGTCACGTTTTGCGCTCCGGCCCAGTAGTTAAGGGCCGGGGTGGGAGACGGTTGCATCAACACAAACAAGGGAAGCCCTGACGTAGGGAAGTGATAAGAGGAGCTGGCTCAGGAATGTGAGTCCCTTCATGTTGCTCTGGATCGGATCCGTCTCTCTCCCATGAAGCTGGTCAAGAAGAGATCTCCATGGACTTGGTTTGGGGGGCTCCTTCATGCTGTGGACTCCCCACTTCTGGTGCGGGTCTTCCAACCCGTGGTCTGGATGTCTCCTTGCTTCAGCTGTTTGCCACAAGCAGGGGCCTGCTGGAGTTGGCCAACCTTGGGTGTCCTGATGGTCCACAGAGGAAGCAGAAGGACCATTCGGAGAGGCAATCCCACCCCATCCAAAGACAACAAGACAAGATGCCCCTCTCGTATCCAGAGCTCCATGGGTAAAGAGGTTTCCAGTGTGGACTATCTCAAGGTCCCTCACTCAAGAGTCCAAAAAACCAGGTCTCACGGATCTCGTGTCGCTCCATCTACAGCAAGAACATCCCAGGTCTTTTGGGAGCCTCAAGTAGCACCATAGACGCGACTGGAGAAGACCCCTGGCCCTGGGCCATGTCTGAGTGGGAAGAGACAAGACTTGCAAAAAAAAAGGAGGATAATTATCCAGGAAAACAAGACGAATTTCTTCTTTTTTAAGGGAAAAAAACCCCTCTCCCACCCTCAAAAACGAACAGCAGTTGGACTTCGGCCTCTGTCGAACTGGAGATATCAAGTCCCTGTCCTCCAAGGTGCCCTCATGGGGTTTGGGAGCTCCTCCGTGCCGCATCCTGGAGCATCCCGGACGTCTCGGATATTTTGGGCAGAGGTTGCGGGTTGGCTGCCCCGGCGGACGCGAACACGTGCCGGCTCCGTGGTATCTGCAACAGCTTCCTGACGAACGTTGGGACATCGGAATCCACCCGCGAGACTGGTTTGTGCTGGCCGCGATTGCAGAGGTGGCACTGGGAGCCGCCCGGATTTCAGGCCACTTGGAATTCGCCACTATCCGGTCCTGGCAGCGCTGCCAAAGATGGAGGATGGGAACCATCACGGTGCCAACGCTCATCGGCCGGGCGGTCCTCACCTTCCCCACCGCCATCCTTGGGTCTTTGGGATCCAAACAGGGGTTTTAGACTCTGCCGAGGTCCTTGGAGGCATCTCGGGGACTTCCTGGGGCGTCGCGGTGGAGGGTCTCCATTCAGGAAGGCCGGCCGAGGGAGTTGCAGGCGATGCAAAACTGCCGAGTCCTACAGCAGGATCCGTATCCTGGATTTGCAGAGGCTCCAGCTCCAGCCTAGATGATGTTGCTTCCACCCCAAAACAAGCCCCAAACCCCACAGATCTTGGAAACCCCCAGGCCATGGTCTCTGGACACCACCTTGCTCCTTCTCCGTAAGATTCGGGTGTTTCCGATTTGCGGATTGTGGGGCCAAGAGCGCCCGAGATGGGCTCAAACCTGGAGCCTTTCCAAGCCACCATGGGACATCACAGGGGTTTCTTTGCTCCCCAAGCCAAGACACATCCATGGGGCTGTGCTGGTCACCCTTGGGAAGAACACAGTTTGGAGGCTAGAAGAAAGGAACGGGACGTCCCCATTGCATTTGGACCTCTCCTTCCTTCCCTTTACCCCATGGGGTCGTTCTCTCCTTCTTGTAGACGAAATTCCCGTTAGGACCTTGCAGGAGAAGGGAAGAAGAAGGTCCCAGCAATCGCGAGATCCTCCAGCTGCTTCCAGGTGTTCCGGCATCTTCTCAGATGCGGAGCTGTATCCAAGGGGGCTCCTTTTCCCACTCGAAACGCGAGCGGGTCTCGACACCGCGTTGCCCAAAAACACCTTCCCCCAGGTGACAATCCCGTGACCTGTCCCCCCGTGATGTCCCCGGCCATCTCCACTTACGCTCGTCTACTTCGTTGCCCTCCTCCGCGGCTCGCGCCGGCGACGCGATGGCGAGGAGCAGCCCCAACCCGAGGAGGAAGACCGGGATGAAACCGAAGGCCCCGTGGCCATCACGAGCCATTCCTGGTGGTGGAGAAACCAAAGCGGATTAGCCGCGGTGGGGCTGGGGGCCATGGGGGGTCAGCAGCAGGTAGGGGGACAGTCCCCACCACCGTCCTCGTGGTCTCTTTCAGGGATGGCACCCAAGTGACCAAGACACCCTTGGTGCTTTGTGGTGGCTTCATCCTTGAGGACCTCATGGTGGCAACTGCCCCTTCTTCTTCTCCTCCCCGTCCTGCTTGGATGAAGCTCCCCAGGGGGACCAACCTCCCCTGCTTGTCTGAGGATCATGTGGAGGGTCCTGTGTCCTCCTGAGCTCCAGCTGGGACACCCCAAGCCCCAGCCAGGAGGTGGCAGGTCCCCCCCTGGACCAAAGCTTGGGAATGGGTGGATTTGACCCAGAGGAGGAGGATGGAGATGGATGGAGAGATGAGGAGACCCCCTTGGACGTCCTGGTGGCCACGTCCACGCCGGGAGATCCGGTTCCCGCAGAGCCCAGACCCAAGGGAGATGCACTCACCTGCTGCAAGACGCGGGGACCGAGAGCGCCGGGGCTGGCTCCGGGCGCCGGGGAAATCCCGGAGCCCTCGTCCCCGTGGTATTTATACCGGGCCGGAAAGTAGGCCGTGTCTTTGTGGGGTGAGTCAAGAGCGCCTGGGCGCCGGGTCCGCGCGGCCGCGGGGCGAGCGCGGCCGTGGGTGTCTCCCGGGCCCCGGGGATGATTAGGGCGCTTTGAAGTCCCAGCAGGCCGGCCGGCCGGCCGTCCCCTCCCGCCCACGGGGCTCCCGGTGTCCCCAGGAGGAGCGGTCGGATGAGGACCCGTCCCCGGGGCATCGTCAGCCCTGTCCATCTGTCCCTCTGACCGTAAGTGTCCTGTGTCTGTCTTTATCTGTCCGTCCGCTCATCTCTGTGTCTGCTGAGACGTCCGTCCATCCGGCCACCCCTTTGTCCAGCCCTCTATGGGTCCGTCTGCCTGTCCATCCAACTCTATCTGTCCATCCATCCAACTCTGTCCATTCAACTCTGTCCGTCCATCCATCCAACTCTGTCCATCCGTCCACCCACCCAATCCATTTTCCAGTCCCTCTGTCCATCCTCCTCCGAGTGAGTCCAGCCGTCTGGCTGTCCAACCACCCTGTCTGTCCATCCGACCACAGATCCAGCCGCCCGTCTGTCCATCCATCCACGTGTCAGGCCGCCCGTCTGTCCAACCATCCGCCTGGCGGTCTGTCCGTCCGTCATTCCATCTCCCCGGGGTAGCTGCTCCGCTGTCCGTCCGTCCATCCCTGCCGCCGTCCGTCGGTCGATCCGTTCCTCTCTCCACCTGCTCGTCCATCCGTCCATCTGCAATCCAACAGTTTGTCTGTTCTGTCTGTCCGTCCCTCTGTCCCTCGTCCATCCAACTTGCCATCTGTCCGACTGTCTGTCTGTCCATCCAGCTCTGTCTGTCTGTCTGTCCTCTCCATGCATCCATGTATCCGCAGGTCCAGGTGTCTCCCTGTCCACCCGTGTCACTCCGGTCGCCTCAGGCCACCTGCATCACGCGTGTTTGCAAACACGGGGGCTTTGCACGTGCACAAGGATGGGTTTTCAGGTGCAAGAACAGGAGTTTTGCACATGCATCCGTGCAAGGACAGGGGTTTTGCACATGCAGATGTGCAAGGATGGGAGTTTTGCACATGTATCCGTGCAAGGATGGGGGTTTTGCACGTGTGCAAGAACAGGAGTTTTGCATGTGCATCTGTGCAAGGAATGGTGTCTTGCACATGCATGTGCGCAAGGACAGGGGTTTTGCACATGCACGTGTGCAGAGATGGCAGATTTGCACATGCTTCTGTGCAAGGACAGGAGTTTTGCACATGCACGTGTGCAAGAACGGGTTTTTGCATGCCCATATGTGCAGAGATGGGGAGTTGCACACGCGCGTGTGCAAAAATGTCCCTTTTTGCACGCGCACATGTGCAAGGATGGGGATTTCGCATGGGCCACGTGTGCATCCACCCACCTGCGGACACATCCCGGGATGCTCCAGGCCTCTCCGCAGGGCCCGGGGCCCCGGAGGCGGCGGGGGCGTCTTCCCCTCTGGAACGTCCCGCTCCGCCGGGATGCTCCGGAGCCGCACGCGGCCTCCGCGCGTGACTCACGCCGAGGACGTGGGCGAGCCCTGGGTGAGGCCCCGTCCCGCTGCCAACGCGTCGGAGCCTCCGTGACTCAAGGGGACACCAGGAAGGCAGCAGGAGGAGGATCCAGTCCTGGAAACCAGTTCCCTCCTGCTCCCAAACTCATTCCCTTTTCTTTTTTCCCCTCCAGATGGAAAACGGCCCTGGATGCGGAGATGCTTCCCATCCCCTTTCCTTGCTCTCACGGGAGCCGGACAATTCGCGATGTCTCTGTTAAGGACACGGTCCTGCTCTGCCCCCGGGGGGCCCTGGCGTCCTGCTGGAGACGCTCCATCCCGGCGATCCCGGTGCAGGGCTGGGGAAGCGCCGGTTGATCCCCCCGGCAGGGATTTCCAGAGGGAAAATGGCTGCTTTGTCCTCTCCAAAAAAGGCGGATTTGGGGATTCGAGGGCTCTTCTGCTGTCCCACCTGCCCTTCCTTGACGTTGGTGGGACCCCGGGTGAACTTGGCCTCTCGCTGCCTCCCAAACGGCCCCTTTGGCAGGGCCAGGAGAGGAGAGGAGGCAGCTCAAGCCAATTAAATCCCTGACGAGCAATTAAGGGCGGAGAGGCCCAGGAGGGAGCCCTGCCGAAAGGCGAGGCCGGGCGGGATGCGTCATCCCGAGATGCTGATCTTGCTCTCCGTTGGTGGCCGACGGAGCCTCGGGCTGGCTCCGATTCCCGAACGGAGAGGTGAGGCCGGGACCTCTCCTTCCTGGAGATGGAGTCCAGGAGATCCCTGCGGAAGAGGCTGCGGCCACGGGGAGTCTGTCCGTGGAGACCTGGCCCATGGGGATGTCGCCTATGGGAGCCCATTCCCGGTTTGTGGAGACCTCATCCAGCAGGATCCCGTGCATGGAGAGCTCGGCCATGGAGATCTGGTCTGCTAAGGTCGCGTTCATGGAGATCCCGTCCGCCGGGATCCCCTCCCATGGAAGTCTGGTCAAGAGATCTCCATGGAGGTCCCATCCCATGGAAATCTCATCCATGGGGGCCTGGTCTGCAGGGATCTCCTCCATGGAGATCCCATCCATGGGGATCCCATCGGATCCCGTCTGTGGAGCAAGGCAGGAAGGAGAAGGGCAACAAGGCAGGAAAGGGGGACCCAGGGGACACTGGGACAAGTGGGGTGGCTCATGAGGGGACCAGAGATCCCATGAGGGGACAGGGGGACCCACAAGGGGACACAGGGGCACAGGAAGGGACACGGGGGGATGGGGGAGCACCCAAAGAGACAGGGGACACATGAGGGGACATGGGGCACACGAAGGAGAGGGCTCGCCGGGACACATGGGGGCACATGAGGGGACATGAGGGTACATGGGGACACACGATGGAACATGGGGGACTATGAGGGGACACCAGGGGACAGGGAGGTCACCAGGGCACACGAGGGGGTTACGGTGACACATGAAGGGGCACAATGGCGCACGGGACGGCACAGGGGAACATGAGGGGACAAGGGGACACGCGAGGAGACCGCGGGGGGGCGGGATCAGGGCCGGGCCTGGACCCGTTCTGCAGGTTCGTCAGCTGTGTCAGGCTAATTAGTGCTAATTACCCCCCCCAGGAGCTTGGAGAAGGGCCAGCCCCGACCTGCCACCGCTGCCAGGGCTGCTGGGGACCCGGTGACCCTCTGTACC